AACATACTACCAATGTAAAAGCATTGCGTCAAATTCGACAAGAAAAGAAAAAAAAAAGGTTAGGGTTTCGAAAAAACAAACCGTAATCGGGGCACAGTCTTCCAGGTGGAAGATTCTCATTATCGTCGCGTACCTTCCAGCCCATCAAGATCGCGATCAGGTTTGATTCACAATTTCTATGTTTAATTCGAAGGAATGTTTGGGATTGGATGTCGGAATTAAAAATCGCAGAGCAAGAACCCTAGGTTTTTTAGAGATTTGAATTGGGGATTTCTGTTAACTTTGGAAATTAATGTGCATTTTCTATGTCGGATTCGAACAGTCACATACTTGAAAGGTCGATTTTACCCTCAAGGTTGTAGCGTGCGAGTCGCACGCTCGTTTTTCCGGCGATATATGGACTCCGATGGCCATTAGGTTGCGATACAGACAGAACGTGTATTACAGGTTGCAATTTTTTTAAAAAAAAAACTTGAGGTTGCAAAAGTCAAAAACGCGATTAGTACAGGTTGCAAAAAATTATTTACCCTTATATATATATGGACTAGTGAATATCCTGTGCACATGCACAAATGCACATAAATTATTATACGTAATATTTGAGAATTTAATATTAAAATTCTAGATAATGAACATATTACATTTTCAAAAATTTGATCATTAGGAAAAATAAATTAACGATTTTATTATTATGAACAATTGTTTATTATCATTAGATAATAAAAGTTCGACTATTATTATTATTATTATTATTATTATTATTATTATTATTATTATTATTATTATTAAAAAAACTGTTTATAAGATTCTAAAGTTATTTTTTAAATAAATTTTTTCATGAGATGCAAAAGAAAAAGATAGATGTTAGAATAAATAACTTGAAACAATTATTTTTAATTATGTAATTTATATTCATTGTGAATTTTTATTAGTTGGTATTAGCAATAACTATTATATAACTAGTATTCCACTTATGCATTGCACAAATATAAATAAAGTATTGTGTGTTATTTGTATGCACATAGTGATTAATTAATTTTCTTGCACTTTTTTGCAGGCTAAATTTACGAATAAAGGAGTTGGAATATTTATATTTTTTAAATTGAGTTTATCATATTGGATGTAATGTATATTTTGGTATGTAGTTTTTTATTAATTGTTTATTATTTATTTAGGAATTTCAAATACGTTTTTTAATTTCAAAAGAAGTTAATTTAAATGTAACCACAACAATAATATCTAATCACGCTAAATAGACAACACATTATATGGTCAACTGTAAGTAAATCAAAAGTTTCAAATGATTTTTGTAATTTTGAAGTGATTAGTTTGTTGATGATCTAATAATTAAATGATATGTTAAATAAATAAAAAGTAACGGTTTTTTGAGGAAAAATATTATATTGCCACATAGGTATAATTAATAAGTTTTATTAAATGCTCATGAGTCAACAATTATATATATATATATATAATAGAAAAATACATGATTACACTCAATAGGATGTATTAATGTGAGAAGTAAAAAATATATAAATATTCCAACTCCTGCAAAGTAAACGACCCCTTAAAGTAAACTTAGGGAATAGTTTGGATATTAAGATTCATAGTTTTTAACCTGTCCCGAAAAAACCGAGACCATTGGGTCGCCTATTTACCGCGATGAACCGAATAATTAATTATAATTTTAAAATTATATTTATATTTTTGCCATTTAAATTTACATAACGAAATTATATATTGCACATAAAATTTTATACATTAAAGTGTTGTTAATATTGCATCTCATAATAAATATTTATCATATAAATATATATACATAAGTTTCATTTTTTAAATAACAAATATTTTTAAAAACAAAAACATAAAAACAATACATCCGTGCTGGGTCAGCAAAACCCAACTAAGGATTCACACGAAATAGTATCATAGTTGTGTACTTGTGTTACATCTATACTTTACCAGTCATATATTTCCAATCACTACTACACACACCAAAATACATGACCTCAAGTCACGATTTTCCTTGATATTATG